TAGTTAGACAACTAGTTACACTGAATGAAAGAAATCAACAAGATAATTAGTGTTTCAAGTATATCTTGAAACAAAATATTGCTAGGAACTGCAATAAAAAAAACCTTGTTGGGAATAAGAACTCCCCCTAAAGGATATACCTGAAAGAGAGAAATGTTATAGATGTTGGAAATCTGTCTATTACAGCTGAGACTGTAAGGAATCAACAGATGTTAAGACACCAAGGAGTCAAGGATGAGTCTTCAAGCTAAACCAGGTTGAAGGAACAATAGAGAGCTAATCTCACATTGGGAAGCAGGAAAGTTTCAGCTGAGAATACCAAATTTGCCCCAAAAGAGATAAGAAGTTCAATGTTTACAGAAATCAATTCACAAGTTCATGGGTATCTTGATGGAAAGCCTTGCAGTATATTGATCAACACTGATTCTACAACTATGATTGTAACTAATTTGGTAATGAAAGTAGGGAAATTACTTCAAGGGATGAAAAAAGGAGGAGGAGAGATATGAACAGCAAGTGGACATAAAGTATCAGAAAGAAGTTACCCTTATTGCAGGAAATTATCTAAGCCTCATGATGTGTGGGTAAATGACATTGGGGAAGAGTGCATATTGGGAACTGACTTCATGCAGAGACATGGCTACCAAGTTAGGCTAGATTCAAAGAGCTTCACAGTCAATGACCATGAAATCCCAGTGTACTACACTAACAAGGACTTATCAAAAGTAGAATCACACCTAGAGATTGGGCTGTAATGAAATCAAACACTAGTATGTTCTGATGAACTAATGGTTGGTAGAATTGTCATGGATCTGAAAAAATAAAGATGACATCATTACAGCCATAAAGTTTGATTCAAATCTTGATAGGACATTGCAGATAGTGCTTCCACATCAAAGAACATCAGCAACGGTCATGTTTTAGGAAAAATGTAGCAAGTCTGATGTCAAATCCTTACATAAGTATAACTTACCATCTCACTTCCACTGGACCCCATGAATTAGGCTGAACAACTAAATATCTCACAAGACTGAAACTGGAGATATAGCCTCAATATTTAGGCAGATAATTTCCTCTTGCAAAACTGGCTGAGGCTTTCAAAAAGATAAAAACTATGAAGGAACAAAGAGTGATAGAGCTGAGTACTAGTCCATGGGCATCATCTATTGTACTTGTGAAGAAAATGGATCAATCCACAAGGTTTTTTATGAACTATCAAAAGGTGGATGAAGTTACAAAGTATGATGTCTATCCATTGCAAATGATGGACTCTACTGTGGTTGCTCTATCTGGATCAAAATTGTTTTCAAACATTGGATTTTAAAAGTTGATATTATCAAATGCAAGTCAATTAATGAAGTATTTTCAGTCTGAACCACTCTAGCTGTTACTTGGATGGTATAATTGCTTATGAAGGACTGAGGAAGGTTCTGGATCAGTTGAGGAAAGACATCCTTAAGCTTAATTCCATGAAGTGTGAATTATCCCATCAAAGGTGAGTTTCCTGGGACACATAGCCAAGAAGGAGTGTCTACACATCCATCAAAAACGATTGTCTGAAATGGCCAACACCAAAGAAACTGCATGAGGTAAGAGGATTTCTAGGACAGTACTCTTACTATCATCATTTTGTGAAATCTTTCTATGACATAGCTTGTCTTCTACACAAAAAGAACTTGAAAAGCCAAATAAGATTTCTTGGACATCTGATTGTGAACAAGCATTCAATAAACTGAAAAAGGAATTGACCAATACTCCTGTACTGAAATTTCCAACTGTGGAAGATCCATTTAGTTTAATATACAACTGACAGTGATGCTGCAGTGGATGCAGTTTTATCACAAGTACAACATGGAAAAGGACATTTGATTGCTTACTTTAGTAAGGCAATGAATGCCACAGAAAGGGGGTATTGTACAGCTAAAAAAAAAAAAGAGCTACTAAGTTTAGTTCAAGCTTTGAGTCACTTCCATCATTGTCTATATCACATGCAACACTAAAGTGGCTGGTGAATTTTCTTAATCCAGATGGCCAAATAGCAAGATGGCTCCAGAAACTCCAGGAGTACATCTTTACAGGAGTGAAATTCTGCCAGTACTCACAGGTACTGATTACTGGAACATATTTTTAAGGCAGTACTAGTACCAGGAATTATTGGAGCTGCTTTTTTGGATGCACATGCATTCCATTGTTCCATCAGAAAGCATTTATTCATTGATACTCAAATTGTCATTTTTTTATGTTTACATATTTATTTTTCTCTTTTTTCAAAAACAGGTCCACTTCACACAGCTGAGAACCTCTACTTTTTTTTTAGAATTCCACCCCTGCATCTTTAACATTGTTCATTACCTGGACAGAACTATGGAAATGCTGATGCACTATCCTGAAGATCATGATAACAAAGAAGCACAAGACAGAAAAAAACAACCAACCTAAATTACAGAAAAGTGTAATCCACTATTTGGCAACCACAAGTGATGATGAAGAACTGATATGGCCCAATACTCAAATGGAAACTGCTCAGGCAAAAAAAAAAGGGCTGAGAACAATTACTCTGTGGCTCAAGAATAGTGCAGAAAAATCCTCATAGCAAACAAGTACTGTTTACACCCCAAAAACAGATATGTGTTGGGCAAAGTAGGATTCTTTATGTTTACAAGAGGTCTTATTATGTCAGACATGGAAAGATACCAATGAACAGAAACAATGATTACAGCTCTACATTCTGAAGCACTTTGTCATCTCCACAACCTTACAAAAGCTGGACAATGAGGTGTTAAGAAGATACTAAAGTACATAAGAGAAGGCAGAATTGATGTAAAACTTGAATTCTGTTGTAAGCAAAAAGGTCCATGAAAGCTATAGCAAAGACAGCTACAGTAGTATTGTGTTGGAGCACCACTGGAGAGATTTGCTGTTGATGTGCTGGATGTTGGACTATTTCACCAAATGGCCTGAAGCATATACTATTCATAACCAAAAAACTCTTGCAAAAAATTCATCAACAAATCTGTTTCAAGATTTGATGTGTCTATGGAACTCTATTCAGATAAGGGATGGTACTTTGAATTAGAAATGTGTCAGATCTTTGGGATGAAAAAACCGGGACAAAGCTCTTCACCCATCTTTTGACAGTATGGTGGAGAGGTACAACTGTACACTTAAATCAATTAGCCATGTGTGTAGATGAACATTAGAAAATGTGGAAGCAAGGTCTTCCACTATTACTGAGGAGTTATTGTACAGTAATACATGAAGCTACCAGCAACATCATTGATGTTTGGGAGAGAACTTAAGGTGCCATTGGATCTTCCGTACTCTCAACAGTCACTCAGAAGAGTTTTAACTCTATGACTATTGGCACACTCTTTATATTCCTTTCTGCACATGTTACAAAGTGTTTCTGAGTTACATTCAAAATTTAATTAAAGCACTTTCCTATCAATGTAGTTTAATGAACTTAACATTATCAATTACATTATAATTCAAAGTTTTATATTATTTAAGTTTTTATTCCTTTATTTCAAAAGAAACCTTTAAAACATTAATCAAATCTACAGTTTTCTTGTCACATGACATGCTTGTGGTTAAAAATATCTTAGCTTTTCTTTCTTTTATTTCATCTGTGTTGTGCTTTAGTACAGGTTTTGCCCAGATGGTCAAAGTACACACATATACACTGCATGTTTACCACTAACTAGGTTGAATTTCAAGAATTCTGTTCCAAGAATGACGTTTCAAATTTCTCCCCCACCAGTAGGAGCCACACCCACACAAAATTAGAAAGAGCTGTTGCTTAAGAACAGATTAGTTTTGAATTACATGCTTATCACCAATATAAAGAGTAGATTTCAAAATATATCTCCCCTATGTTTTCTACAATCTCACATGATGTAAAAGTTGACTCTTGAAGGTGTACAGTTGCTAAGTGCATTCTTGGAGATTGTTATTCTTAGGACTTGACTGTTTTTCTTGCCTTATACATATTAGTTTGATAGACAGTTAAACTGCATGTAGGTTTTAATTTTATATTTTTGTTAATTACGTATTATTTGTTTTTTGAAATTCATATTTGAAAGGTTTAATGGTTTTTAATTTATTCTATGCTTTGCCTTGTTCAATATGTGTTTTATAAATGAGTGAGTGCAAACATTTTTGTCACAGGTTAAATTGTCTCTGATAAACATAATGTTATATTGCTCATGGACACCTGTTGATGTGTTTCGACATCAGCAATCAATGATAAAGAATAGGAAAGGAAAATAAAACATTTTAGGACTAACTGCTATGGAGACTTAATGATATGATCCAGCAATCGGATGATATCCATGTTTTAGTCATGTACAAGCATATATACATTTCAAATTTCTAACAATAAACTTAGGTTTGGATTAGGGAAATATCATGAAGAGTATGAAACTTCTCAAAGACTTGAGTGATATAACTGAATGTAAAAACTTTAAAAAAAATTGATTTAGATGAATGGTGTTTAGATAATTCAAGAAATGTGTGAACCAGGTTTTCTGTTAAAAAATAAGTAATGTATCATTAATATATATATATTTATATATACAGTTTATATTCTTTACAAAATTAATGAAACCATTCTTTGTGCTAGTTTTGATGTTTAGCCCTTGTGTACAAATATACCCTTAGGTACAGTAAGTTAATAAAATGCCAACTTAATTTCTGATGAATATGTTAATGGACTACTATTAATTTAATTGAACTTGTTACCAAAAGTTTTTTTTGTATTTAACGGAAAACAAAAAATGAATGATGAGATTGATTGTGTTTGTAATGGGTTCATATAGTAAAAATAATAAAACCTTTGTTAAATTATAACTATGTTGAGGATACTGTTGATAACACTAATAAATATTCTGTGTTCAGTCTTTACTTAAGTAAAGTAGTACAATATCTAGTCAAGTTATTAATATTTTCTGAGGTTAGAAAAAATGAGCATTTTCAAAGTGTTTTATCATTTTAGTTCAACACTTTATTTCACAGCAATATACATATAATTATAAAAGTGCAGCAATAATTAGTATTCATTAACATAGCACCTTTTTAATTTAAAAATTATTGTTAATCATAAATATAACTAAAATATGCTACATCCATAAATACAACTGACACCTCTGTAAACAGTAACACAATCAAAGGTGTAATGAAAACAACTAAAATAAGCATTTATTTCATTCCACATTATAAGTAACTGTATGCATTTGTTATTTGTATTAGTATTATTCTCTTTGTATAATTCAAGTACAGGTTCCATAGTGTTTTTATTTTACAGAAAACTAACAAAAATGATGAAAACATAATAATTATTTTCATAACTTTGGCAAACATTAAAAAGTTTGTGATAAGCTGCAAGTGTAACTTAATTTAACTTTAAAATTATGATGTCTGTGCCTATAGTACCTTCAACACCTATTCATACAAATGTAGTCTGCTCCCCTCATACTTCAAATATAATTGAAAACTTCCTAGTTGATGTATCACAACTATACGCTAGATAAAAAAGTAGTGACTGTACTTTCCTACTTATCCTTCAGGGTAAAAGACAAATCCACACTGAATAAAAATTATAGCTCTGAAATTGATGGAAATCACTCATCACCTGATAGAAAGTATAAAACCCATCATTGCTTAATATTCTGGTGAAAAGTTTGCAATTTCTAATAAACAATTTTAAAATTATAATGTAATATAACTTGGAAATGTATTACAAAATATGTACTTATTTTGGTTGATAAAACTGCCTATAATATGTTGCTTTAATGAAAAAGTAATACAAAGTGAATGAAAAGATACAGAAACTGAAAATAAGCCTCACAAACAAAATGAGTTCAGAAAGCCCTATATATTGATGTAAATACTACTGGTAAAGGATATATCTTAAATGAAATTAACACTAAACAGGATATTAACTTGTTTAAATCTCTAGCTTTTCAGAAAGAGGTAAGATATTATTGTTCAATATTACAGTCTCCTCTTGAAAGACAGTCCATGAAAGAAATAATTGTAGAGAGAAAATATTTTCAAAGTGTTTAAAAAAATAAATAAGTAAATTTCCTACATTACAAAACAATGGTCCTTTGTTTAGAGTACTGTTCCTTCTCAGTAGTATGTACAAGATCAATTTATTACAACAGTTTTATTCTTTCCCTCAATACTACTATGGTATACATATCACTTTAACCCTTAAATGTACAAGGTAGGTCACAAATGAACCATGTACTCACGTTATTTGTTTAAAATTGATAATGGTATTTTTTTGGGGGCCAAACTTTTTAAGTTCTTTAACTAAACCTTCTTAGTGAGTGCATTACATAAACTTAGCCAAGACACACAAAAAAAAACCTGTTTACAGTAGAGTAATTGTGAATGAAAGAACATGGGTCACTAACGACCCAGATCATGCATATGATAAAAGATCTGAGAAATCCAGATCTTTTGACCTGGATTACTAAGATCAAGAAATATATATATAATATATATGTTATTATATATAACAACATATACATAAATTGTACTACTCATTTGTAATACTGTCCAATGGGAATTGTCCTACCAGGAGTTGGCCTTCTCTCTGTTAGCTGAAGAAAGTTGCTCAGACAGCATTAGTGATGACGGGGATGAACGGAGTATTTGTTTCTGGTGTGGAACTGTCCCAAGTCAGAGTGCTTCAGAGGAATCGTTTCATGATTATTAATAACATGAAGAAGTGGGTGAACCTCTATCTTTGTATGCACCATAAGGAAGAATATGGACTTTGAAGGTACTTACCAAAGAGAAAAGTAAATATTGTGAGAAAACAAGTTTGTTCTCTTGTCTGTGAATGCAAAACAGTGCTAAATGCTAAAGAGTATGAGTCCAAACAAATGGAAACCAGTAATTCTTCCAGAACTGAAAGCTGTATTAGGACTTCTCTACTTGGCTGGTGTTTATAAAACACAATATAAATCTGTATAGGTGTTGTGGTTTCAAGGACCTTTTGGTAGATCGATTTTCTCAGCTACAATGTTAATACAGCAATTTGAATGTATCCTAGCTAACATATAATTTGATTCAAGAGACACATGAGCTGACTGTAGAGCCAAAGATAAGTTCACTCCTATTAGGGAGTTAAGGGAGACCCTTTATTTTAAACAGAAGAAATTCCTACAATGTGCCAGAATGTGTGACAATCAATGAAAAAATTAGTTTCTTTCAAAGGTCAAGGTAATACCTCCCTTTCAAACCTGACAGTATTGAATGATAATGTTCCTGCTCTGTGATTCTGAAACAAAGTACATCTTCAATAAATGAGCCATATATTGGACAACAGTATGGTACATCACCTGAAAAGAAACCAGCTAACAATGTAGTGAAGAGGCTTGCTCTGCCATTATTTAATTCAGGTGTAAATATTACAGCTCATAATTAATTCAGTGATTTTCAACTTGTTGAACAAATTTATCTGAAGAAAATCACATACATGGGAAATGTACAGAAAAAGGGACTTGCCAAAGCAGTTTCTAGTAAATTAAAGTAAACCTGTTCTTGTGAACATGTTTTGGTTAGATGGTAACATGATGACTGCTTCATTTCTTCCAAAGAAAAAGAACGTGTCTTACTGATATTGACTATGCATAATGATAATGGTATTGATACTGAGAAGACGAAGACAGAAGTCTCTTTTACAACTGCACAAAGGGTAGGGTGCAGTGGATACTGCTGACCAACTGTACCACACTTACTCTTTCCAACGACACACAAGATGTTGTTTTGTTTTTTTGCATATTTTATGAATGTACTCAATCTGACAGGAATCAATGCTTTATTAACATTTCTTTCCAAAAACCCTAAATAGAATGAAAAAAGTCACATTGATACAGATTATTTCTTAATGAACTAGGAAGAGAATTGGTATGTCCTTGGCTCAAGCAAAGGGGGGAGGGACATAATTAAACTTCAGAACCCCATTTTGGATGCTCTGAAAAGGTGTGGCAATGAAAAGTATCACGAAGAACACAATGAAGGCACAATAAAGAATACTGCTACTACTTCCAAATGCTAAAGACAGGAAACATAGCATATTATGTGCGAAATGTACCAGGCCAATCTGCTCTGCACACTCAAATACAATGAAAACAACTGTTTGTGGTAACATCAATTTATAGTTATCATACCTGAAGAATTGCAATGCATATTTGCTGATGGTACACTATTTCTGATTATTCTTTTGCTAATTACATATTGTGACCATCATGCTTGTGTTGTGTTAGATTTAATAAAAGAAACTTACACATAAGTGTGGTCTGAATCCATTTTTACTTTGGCAGGTCACTTGTGACCCATGTTATGTATTAATGTAAGCATCTTACTTCATGCATTTAAGGGTTAATATATATACAGCATTATTAACAAATTTCTCCCTTATCATGACATACCTACAGACATTACAATACTTGTACCTGCCTGAAACATTGAACCCATTATTACTCCGTATTAGCATAACCTCTGACTATAGTCAGTCCTCTAACATTAAAACCACTGATTTCAACACCACTGTTATCAGTCTGCTAACAATAAAACTAGAATTACTGTACTTCAACTTTATTGTGGACACCAATCAAATTATCCTATTCCTTAAGCATTAAAACCACTATTATATTTCTATAAATTCTTGATTTCAGTGTCAATGCTGTCTGTATCTTACAATTCCAACCAATAGTAAAATACTTTGACTTCTGACATAATCATCAAACTTTCATGCTTCTCTTTTCTCCAACATCAAAATCACTACTAACATATTTCTGTTTAATCCTTGTATTTAACAACACTATTGTCTGTACCCTAACCTCTGTCATGTTTACCTTTGCAGTCCATGCTATTACTGCAATTCTGTCTGGCCTATGTCATTCACATCATTACTCTTACATGTATATCCTCATTAGAACATCTACTACACCTACATAAAATGCCTGGCCCCCATAACATACATCTATATCACAACAGCTGTCATGTCTGGCTTCTGAAAAACCATATCACTACTCAACACTTCTATACTCTACTGTGTATTGTCAACTAATGTCCTGGTTTGAACTCTGATGCATAATAATTTATGATTTCACATACAATCATTATTAATGCCATACTCACTTACACATCTTTTATCCACACCTACAAACTGCATGTGTTAAAGCAATATGTTTACATTATGAACAATTTCAAATAAATTCACACTATTTTTTGGAGACCTCAAAAGATCCACACGAGTCTTTCCACATCAGATATATTTAACAATATTGATCTGTTACAGAAAGCCCTTGTCACTTTCAACAGCTATAACAGTGACACTAACACTGTTGTTTATTAACTGATATAAAAGTTCAGTCATTCTGTCATTCTCTTTAAAAATCACTCTTCATCTTAATACTGAAAATAAACAGATATCATGATAAGCACCTCAAGATTTCATAAAAAATTAATTTAAAACTTACACCCGTGTTCTAATTTGTCACAAAATCCTAAACAAATCTCAGAGCTATATAAATTTACAAAATACATTATAATGTTCTTAACTGATATCATGTCTTTATAATGTTCTCAACTGACATCACATCTTCAAGAAAGCTATAAAATTTAAGATTTAATATTTATGAATGTATGAGATTATTCAATTTACATTTTCTTCAAAACCTCACATTACATATATAGTAAGGAATAGAATATTCTCTTATATAATTAAAAATACTAACAATGTGAGCTATATACATAAATACACAATACTTTGCAGTGTGATGCTCACACACAATGATAAAATACTTATTTTTACACATTCTCTACTTTCAGGCACAAGAGAAAGGACTGTTATACTTCACACTTGGTGAATATAAATACAGCCCTCAATATGGTTTTGAAGCCACAGATCAAGATTTAGATTTTCCTCCTTTCTTTGCAGTTCCACTCCTCTGCTGGTGTTCCTGAATCAGCTTCAGCTCTCGCAAGGCTCTGCGCTTTGACACCTGCTTTTGGTGCTCCTTTTCTAATTCATGTTCTGTTAGTGGCAGGTGAAGACACTAGAAAAGAATAGTTACAGTGTGTCATTACCAATGTAACAGTAAATAAATTAGTTAATAATACTTCATAAAAAGTTACCTTGATTTTTTCTCAACATTTTTTAAATGCTTCAAAATTACATCCAGTTAAAATTAATAACTGCAATGAATAATAAAAATAGGTTCAATTTTTAAAACTTAAATGATTTTGTTCAACTGAACTTACAAATGAAATGACAACTTTCTTTGAAAACTGAGATTATCCACAAAAGTGATGTATTTTTCATGCCAGTAGTTCTCACTTTTTGAGCTTTGTAGGCCTTTTAAATATATATAAAAGCAAAGACCTCATGGACCCCTAATATAACCCGACAGCCATCTTCCAACGTGACAGAATTAACTTAATACAGATATGTTGAAAATACTAGAAAAAAAATTATGTATTCAAAATTCTATTTAAAAATTAGTTTTTTTGTCAAACTTTCAACACTTTGCCAAAGAAGTAATTATAATATAAAACATACTATAGAAACTTAAAAATTAAAACATGATCAGAAAAATATCAATGACATTAATCATACTAAAACCTGATGATACTTATGCCACAAATGTATCCTTTTTGACTATGTTTGCATATGTACACTAATAAATGAACTAAAATCAACTTTCCATGTTAGATGACAACTTACATGTACATCCAAATATTTAATTTCTTGTATCCAAAGCATATGCTACAAGAGCAGGTGAACTCACAAAACTATATGGAAACTATGGAATTGTTTCAAAGAAATATTTGTGCAAGTTAAAATCAAAGATAAAGACTTCTCTGTATCATGATTGCAACAATGATAAATAACATATGGCCCTTACAACATAGTTAAACTCTATAGCTTCTTTTCAGAGTAAGTATTCAATTCAGTCTTCTAGAACGAATGATACATTTTCATTCAAGTAAATGGATTTTGTATATGTGACTGTAAATATTTCTGTACAGAAGGTTAATAACACTTTATATGAATGATATTTATATGTTAATGCATTTCTGTTTCACTTCATATGCAAGCTATAACATCTATATATTAGGTTTATGATGAATCCCTAACAATTTGACAGTGCAATGCTGCCACAGATAGGCTTATGGCTGAAGAAATATGTCACAACCCATCCTGAAGAAGGATAGTTGTATAACAGAATTATTAAATGATGCATCAACCAAAGGACATAACGTTGTGAAGAAGGAAGCCTTTAATGTTCTTCATGGAAGTAGAACACTTCATATAACAAAGAATTAAAAGGCTCTCACACCAGACTCTGAGCCAATATCAAGCAAAGTTCTCACCTAAAAAGTGAAGCTTATGAAGAGAATCCTTCAATCACAAAGGCCGTTGCAACAAAGCTGGTATTGTTAGAAATACATTAGACAAACATATGAAGTTAACAAAGATTCAAAAGAATTTAACTATGCCACAAAATAAACAATGTTTTCATGAGAAAGATGGCTGGAGAAGCTGAAATCACAGGAATCCCATTCAACTGCACACCTGCAAAATGCTCTGAATAGCTGAAATGGACTTCTGTGTCCCTGATCTTCTTAATCCTATAGCTTTCAACATCATTTTTAAATTCCTTTCTGCGTATGTACTGCATACATTCAAAATTTAATTAACCCTATCCTTTGGGTACCCTTTATTGCGCATGACACAAAGTTTTAGTGTCTTACATTCAACATTTTATTAAACCACTTTTTATTTATGTTATCCAATTAGAATAGCATAAAATCTTAGCTAATAATCCATATTTTAATATTATATAAGTTTTAAGTTCTTAATTCTACAAGAAAATATTTAAAAAATTCTGAATTTCCACTAGTGTGACCCACATGACAAATTTTTTCTCAGCATGTCATCCTCCCTATTTTATCCACTACCCCTTGAAAAAAGTACGAAATTAAGCATAAATTACTCTCTATAATATTGTTATTGCTCAGACAAACCATAATTTTTATAGTCTTCAATTTTGTTTGGTTACAGAGCCACACCTACCTGTTACATCCCCTCTTTAAGAATTTGTTGAAAGTTTTCTCTTACATTTCATTATACATTACTTATAACCAATAGAAAGTCAAGGTTTTCATCTATCTAATGACGTATTGTATAATGTTGTATTCTGAACAGAATATCATCAATTTCACTCACAGTACAAGATTCGTTCCTGTGGAAAAGTTAATGACTAGCTTGGATGAATTTGTAATGGCTCCTGTTGCATAGTTAGAAAGCCAGGAACATTTTGAGAGGTAAGTGAATATGTCTACTTTTTGCATGTTATTAGTCTATACTCTTTGGTGCATTATTTAATTAAATAAAAATCATTAAGTACATTACTATCTATAGTATATAAAATTAGGGTTAGCTCTCGTCGTAAACACAAGAGCAAGAAAAAAAGAAAATTTGTTAAGTACTTTATTTTTTGTTTTCCATATTTATTCTTTATTTATTATTATAAAAGTAACTAAAATTTAAAAATATGGATCTTTTTAAGCTATTTAAGATGATATTAGGTAAAATAAGTAATAATAATAATATAATTAAAATAGTTCATGAGGCACGCATGGGAGCAGCTCGTGGGTAATGTAATTCAATAGCGTAATGTGAGCTGCACATTCCCTGAGTGATTTACAACTTATAATGGCACAGATAGTAGTTAGACATGATTCCAAGGGCAATACAACAATAAGATTTAATTATAAATAGATGTATCCTGTTATGAACTTAGGGTAAATGAATGTAGTTTCATGTTACAATTTTAAGTCATTCTAGAAAGAAAAAAAGGGGTACTTTAGGTTTATTTCAATTTTTTTTGGTGGTTACGAGGTCGGTCGAATTGACCAATCCTGTTTTGAGATAGGGTAGAGAAAATAACATATAAACTACAAAGTTTTACTGAAAAAACATTTGAAATGCATTTAGGAGGTTTCAGGGATTACACAAAGGAAATTTGAGAGAGTTAAGTCAACAACTAATATAAGTTTTGTAATTGCCTCTTAAGAAAGTGATATTAAAGATTGATGTTTTGTGTATTCTCCTTCTCTGAGTCATTCTTTATTCTAACTGTAAACTCATTGAGTTAGTGAACTGTGTGCTATAAGTATGACTGGTGGTAAAAGTCGAAGCTCCAATGATTAACCTAAATGCCTGCCCATCACACTCTTAGCCACATAAGCTGGCAAGTTAGAAGTATATAGATGGTACATACATGATGTTGACCTAGTTGATACGTGATGTCCGAAGTCCAACAACTTTATTCACTGGGAAAAAGAAAGAAATTTTCCCACCCTTGACAGTTGCCACACCCACCTTCTATACTTTACCTTGAGATCTACAATGCACAAGTAATTAGTTAACACAAGTGTATATAGTTGTTAAAAAGAGTGTACATGCAACTGCCATTTGTATTGTAGTCTGCTTAATTGATTGAAGTACTTACGATGGTTTCTTACATAAATATGCTATAGTTAGAGAGACAGTTAAACTATATTTACATTTTAGTTAATTATGTATTATTGTTGTTTTAAAAATCATATCTGAACAGTTTAACAATTTTTTATAAGTTTAACCTGTCATCTGGATTGGAAAAGGTTATAAACAAGATGATGTGTATAAGCTCCATCTTGTTTTGGCAACGCGTTTCTGTGGAGTCCGCCGAAATACCTTCATAAAGCCCTTCGGCCATCAGTTGAAGTACGAGCATAAAATAAATGATAATAGATGAATAATTTGAAAGGAAAATAAGAAATAAACTATAAATGAAAAGTTAAAGATGTGAAATTATGCATACATGAAAAATATGACTATTCTAGTGGATTTCTACAGAGTTGAATGGTATGTACATATTTCCATTTGTTAATCTTAAACATTTTATTGCACTGTATGTTGATGATAATAGATAGTTAGTGATATAGCAGAGAAAATGGAAAGTAAAATATAAACATTTACCTTAAAAACTTTTGATACTGATTTAGGTGGTTCTAGATATTATAGAAATGAAATGTGAAACTGTAAGATAAAAAATAGTATTTCTATACTACATATAAAAATCACCTTGTAGGCGAACTATTCAGAGTGCTAGTACAAATAACTACATTAAATAAATTGTTTTTTATTAGAAATTGTATAAAAAATCAAAATTATTCTATTTTTCTCAAACTACATACTTTTAGGAATATTCTTGTTATATTTTAAACTATTTCATCCAATAGTTGGCAAAGGGTTAAAGTAATTATTCTACGAATGCATGTAACAAAATTTAATATTATATGTATTGATTTTTTTTACTCCTTCACTTCATACATAATATAGGGGTTTGCTCCCTAAAGACACCAATT